ACGTGTGCTCTTCCGATCTCCCCAAAACCCCAAAACCCCTTAAGACTAGTATTGTGAGAACATATGGAAAATTATATTTAAGAGCATATGCTAATTCAAATTATTGATTTTGAGGTTTATTCTTCTTTACTCTTTCAATAATTAAATCTATCAACGAACTCTTGCTGATTTAATTAAATTATTAAAATGCCTAAAAAAGAGGAAAAAGGTTAATAATTATCTATGGCTAACCTGAGCTTTTCCAAAAACGATTTGTCATCATAAGCTAGATCTTACGAGGAAAATAAATCAAAGTCAATCCTACAAAGACTCAAAGACCTTGTGTCATATGACAGATTTGCATGGACCCTAATTAGCATAAACAAAAACAATATCTTACCAATTTAGTTGATGACAGCATTTTAAATTGTAGATTACACTTTATTACTATACACACCTATCATTATCCTATACTCCTAACGAGCAAATGTCAAAATCGAAGAAAGTTGGGTTTTTGAGAAAATACTTGCAGAGCTATCACTCTAAACAATCTTTTACGTTGAACTGGCGTTAATCCTATTTATGATTATCATATCATTAACAATACTCTATATTTCTAGTACAACAAAAATGAATTCTTAAGAATCGAGGAAAAGTAGTGCTATTTAAAGCTTCGCTTACGCAGCCATTATATTTAGCAATTATCCACTTTCTATTCCATCTTTATACATTGTGACTAAATCATTCTTTGTAAAATTCCCTTCAGAAGATCAATTTTATTACTACCTTGTAATTATAGGGGGAATCGTAATACTGCTACAAGTTTTCTGGATTTCCTTGCTGAAAAAATTAATGACTCTAAGAATTCCTATAGACTCAAATCTAATAAGCTACTTGGATGGTCGTCTCACTCTTCTGAAACTTTTATTGAAAATAAGCTACACTGTTTCACACCTCATTCTCTCTGAGTTCCATTTTATCTCTGACTAGTATGGATTTATAATATTATTGATATTGGTTGGGATTACTCTAGTTTTGTCCTTATTCTCAGAGATGATTATAGCTTATTACAATAGAGCACAGCGAATAATAATGCAGTACTTTTTCCTGTCTAGTTCTATCATATTTCTACTATCAAGTTTTTAGGCAGATGATTACTTATTGATTATTTTTACCATAATTGCATTCTTCTTAGTCAAGAGACATTGGTGCAACAGAATACTTTGGAAAATTAATTTAAACTAACTCAAAATACAACTTGAATACAATTACGCACTCTAGTTAATAATCTAATAAATATCGCTATTAAATTAGGAAGGATAACAGTAAAAATAAAGCTTAAAATTTTTATTTGGTATCTTGAGGAATCACTAAAACAAATGTGTAAACAAAAGATGCTCCTGTTAATAGACAGACTATGTACTTTGGATAGATAGTCGATTCGATAAAAATCAATAGTATATATAGATGGACGAGGAAGAGATGAATTTCATAAAGGAATATAATTAAAACTACATTTTTAGGACAGATAAAGTAGTGTAGGCTCCACTATTATTTGATACATTATTAGAATAGAGGGCATTTGAAATTAAGTCATCTGACGATGTCGTATTTGATATGATGATAGCTGCTAGAAGCTCCAATTTAATGACTATACTTGAGTTTGAAGAGATCAGTAAGTAAAACAATGATCTGGAGGCAGAATAATCAAAGAATGTGAAATTCAACTAACTTTGCCTTAGAAAGTCATTTTTTGCCAATTTTCTTAGGATGTACTTTGAATAAGCTATAAAGGCGAATCCCAACAATTATTTAATGAGACTACAGTATGCTTACTATGCTTTAGTTCATTTAAGAAACATGTATCTGTGTATTAACATATTAAGAGATCTTGATTTCAGCAAGCTCAGCTGGCATGATAAAGTAAATCTTAAAGTAAACGAAATAGCCTTGATTCAAGAACTTGAAAATCTGCAAAGTTAATCCCAAGAATACCAAAACGGATATAGCATGACATCAATGGGCATAATAAGCACAATAAATAAAAAACAGATAATCAATAAAAACTAGTAGGACTTGAATATTAGTCCAGAGCATTTCATCAACATATCACTCCTTTATGACAAATTTAATCACTTTTCAACAGTTTTGAACCAAAATATAATCGACTTTTGGAAGCTCATAGATGACAAGGACTTTTAGCTTAATTCATTGTTAAGTTAACAAAGAGAATTATCCAATTCTATCTCGTTGCTTCATGAAGTATTTGAAAACATTGAAAGTGTGAGTAAGAAAAAGGATCCAAAGATATACTACTATTATGCACTACTGCAGAAGCAACTGCTAAATGATGATTAAGCATGCGAAAATATGCTTCATAAGTATAAGAGTATAAGGAATATCTAAAGAGTGTTATAATCTAATTACAGAATTACTATTCCTGATAATGATATGGCCATGATTGTGTGTATGGGTGGTATTTAAAACTTTGGAAAATTGCTAATTTGCAACCAGATGGTAAAGAAAATAACAGGATTCGATAACCTGGACTTAAGACATTAGACAATAGAAATGTTCATGCCGCCTTAAATAAGAGAAGCTCACAAGGAATTTTTAGATGAATTTAATAAGAGTGGATAGAATAGTATACTCTCGAAAAATACAAATGTTTTTATGATGAATAAGAACGAAACTTGCTAGTTAGTTAACTAGACTATTCGGTATCACTATTCTCAAGAATATGATCACTGTTTTGTCGCTTTCATTTAGAAAATAGATGATCTCCAAATCTGGAATAGTTCCTAAATGGGCAGAAAGCTAAACAAAATTATGTTTTTACTTGCTGATAATATTGATGGGAAGATTTTTGCTTTTAGTAAGACATGCACTAAATATCTTGGGATCAAGAATAGTTTTTTGAAAGGACAAGATGTAATATGCAAAACAAATAATTTTACTTTGAATGACATTTGCCCTATGATTGATCTGAATATGGTTAGCAAATCTCAAATCGCATCTGAAGATTCACCTCAATAGTGCAGAGTATTTGAAGGCTAATTTGACTTAGACATTAGTTACCTGCCTAGCTAGGTATTTAACAATTTTTTAATCCACATTATAGGTGATCAGGGAGAAGAAATTAGGATATTTGAGAGATAAGCCAGTAAAATTCAAGTTGATTAAGGAGAGCTACTTTGATTCTAAACTAGAGATTAATATCTTAGCTTTGCAATTCATCGAGAATATGCCGACAGTAAATGGAATAACTATATCATTAAATGATGTTATGATGACTTAAGCATTGCCTCAATCAAAAAACTAAATAAGTGATAAAGACAACGAAGATGAAGAGGAATAGTCATCCTCCTCAAGTAATGATGGTTAAAAAAGCCAAGAATTTATTAAAAGCAAATTTATGAGAGATTTTAAAACAACTCCATAGCTTTTAAAAATTGCTGTCCAGCTCATCATATTCGTTTTTATGGCGATGATTTGTATTAGCTCAGTGAACTTCTATTTGGCTAAAGTAAGAAATACTCAATTAGAACATGAACTTGACATATTACATGAATCTTTTAAAAGAAGTGAGTTAACAATCAAATGCAAGGTTTCACTCTAAAGTATGCTACTGCAGGTTAATGGCTATGAAATATAAACTTCTAAAATTGTAGATAACAAATATGAGTCAATGCAGTAACTTTTATTTAATAGCTAAGAAGATTTGAGAAATATGCAAAGCAAACTAGAAAGTGAATAGTTTGACTACTCAATAGACTTCAATCACTTTTTAAATTCTGAAATTCTCCCTTTGGAGTATCTGAATGAAGATTTTACAATAACTTAGAAGAATTAGACAATGACGATAGGCATTAACATTTTAGTTACTAGACTATTAGAAGTTTACAACTTTAACAAATCCTAATTAAAGGGTAATTTGAGTATCTAGACCTTATAGCCAGCAAAAGCTCCCTATAAGCCCTCATTTTATGAGAGAACTATTCATTTCGCTTCATACAATAGTATTAAATCTATAAGAAAGATTAGTTTAGATCTGAGTCAGAGATATATAGATGACATAAAAAATCATTCAAATAATAGTTAGTTTATGACAGAGATGACCTTAATTGGCTCAATCTGTGCCATAGTCATTGTGGGATTTATAGTCACGCCCATTTTGACAAAAATTTAAGATAAGCAGTTTATTTCAATAGGATTCTTCTTCAGTTTGAAACGAGAACATATTTGTCTTATGTAAAAGCAGGCAAGTGATTTCTATGAATAGTTGGAAACTTACATCAGAAATGATAAAAAAGTCTAAAATGAGGACGATGAAGACGAAATTTAATAGCAAAACATGAGTAGACAATAACTTTTCGGAGCTTCCCTGGTATCACATCAGGATATTAACTTAAATATTTCCAAAGATAACACCTCATTATATATGGCTAACGATACGACTTATATAAACAATAATTATGCTCGCCAAAGCCTATCAAAATCAGATATAGACGATAGAAGTGAAGTTTCCAAAATCGAAGGTCCAAAAAGTCCTCATACTTATTAGAAATTCTAATTGGAGTAATCAGGAAGATTTTTACTTGGAAAAATAAAGGAGAAGAGTATGCTATCAGAAAGTGATCTCTAGAGTAGATTGCCAGAGGAAAACAGCCAGAAGATATCTCAACAAATTATTGAATCTGATAAGAGCTAAGAGGAACAAGAAGCAATAGATAAAATGAAAATTTAATAGATAAAATCTACTAAGTTGAAGCGGAAATTCAAGGTGTTCTTAATTTGCCTTTTCTTTATAGTTATCTTCTCTTTGTATTTCATTGGAACATACATAATGCAACTAAGAATATACTCCAACATAACAGATGTTGTAAGCAGTTTAAAGATAATATATCAAAAAAGCTTTTGCCCTGAAACTGTCTATACACTAATCAAGGAATCTCAAATTAAAAATACCACAAAAATATTTCCCGATGAGAATATAGAACTTATAAACTAACAGATTTTGACATGCTACTAGTATGAACAGGAATATGGATTTCTTAGGGTGAAGCTTCCTGACCCTTTCAAAAGCATTGAGAGTTATATTTAAGATTTGGAATCAGATTAGCTATGTACTATTGAATTTTCTGATCCAAAAGAAAGGCTCAATTGCTAGACTGCAAACAATGGGATATTGATGAAAGGGTTGTCAAACACGGCATAATATATTTTATCTCATTTCTAGTAAATAAATCTCAAAATGAGTGAGATACACAGAAATGAGACTTATCTTAAGAAGCTATTACTAAATGAAATGACTTCAGAACTAATGATGATGAAATTGAATATTATTGAGAAAGTGCTATAAAATTTCTACCTAAAGTCAATATATGCCGCAGATACCTACTTTAGATAACTAATAAACCAGTACTTAATTATATTTGTGCTGTTCCTCAGCTTTCTTTTCTTTATCGTGACAGTTTTCTTTACAAAAGTTTATAAATCCATGCGCTTATATCTGTGGCAAATCAACATGTCCCTAAAGATTCTTCCAATTTAAAAATTACCATAGGAAGCAATAAATGATTTAAAAGTATTCCTATCAATTAAGGAATGATTTTACTAATATTAAGACAAAACTAGCATAATATATATAATTGATTCAATTAAAAAATATCTTCTTTAAATTACTGTTTCTAGCAGAGGGGGTTTTGGGGTTTTGGGG